TAATACTTGGCCATTCAAACCCTTCCATAACTGGCAGGCGGGGGCCAAGATCTCAATCACATTTATCACAATGATAATTACATAGTTATCATATTCTATGTATAATCTATTTATCAATAGCCTATCATATTCATGAGTTTTTTCCTTTTCATTCATATATAATTAATATCAATTATTTACCCTTGGACATCAAAAACACAAGGGAGACTATAACAACATTCAAGTTATCAAATTAAGTAGATAATAATTATTTTCACCTGCACAAATATTTTGGCCCATTAATATAAACACAGGTATCAAACTACATTCCTAATGGCCCGAAATACATTTCCACCCAACACAAAACTCATAATGCAAGTGGATCAAAAATATATTATCCTAGTTGACAATATCATAAACTAAATACACATGTCAAAATAAAAAGAGAAAGGCCTGCAAAAGTAATTATTATCACTTGGCCTAATGCTCCTTTCTTCTATTCTTTTGAGATGAACTAGCTCTTATAATATGTTAAAAGAGAGGAGTGAGTACAATCACTCAGTAACCAAGATACATTTAAGTTATACAAATGCATGATAATTAATTATGAATGCAAATGGCCAATAAATTTATCAAGGTGACCATGTAAACAATCACATTAATAACATGTTAATCACATTAACATTTAACTTATGTGAATAATCTCAAGAATAAAGTCAAGTACAAAATTTATACAAATGGCTACATATACATTGTTCGCATAATTACTACATGTTCTCATTTCTGCAATTATAATCATATTCTCAACATAGCTATCAATCACTCAAATGACATGATGATAATAATAAGCATGATGATAATAATAAGCATGATCAATCTCTTCTTTATATTTTCCTTTATTTCCTCTGACATGAAATTTATGGGCAAACAACGGAAGGGAGACTACCCAAGACTTTAATCATATCGTGAGGGGCTATCGGGCCAAGGTTACTTTACTTACTTATGAACATAATTTCTCCTAAATCACACATTATGGAGTGTCAAACCCAAAACTAGCTTTATCCAAAACTCTAGGTAGGCTAGTAGGATCAAGTCTCTTAATAGGAACAATGCTATAGTAGCTTACAAGGTAAGTAGTGGCTATAACCTCTAAGATTATTGGTTAATAGCCAAGTATCATATGGATTTTGCATAACTGCTAACTCCTTCACTAAGGCAAACTCCCGTCATATGATCATACTCATGAGAAAATGCATTTCAAAAGCTCATATATATATATATATATATAATTCACAATTATCCCACATGCTCATTAACTTTTTTGCTCAATAAGTATCAAGACTCATCATTTTTCAATCATGCCTCTTACATCAATTTTATATTAATAGATAAACCACATTAGCATATACAATTCATCACTATATATAATCCACAATCTATAACCAAGAATGTACACATCATCATCAACTATCAATCTCATTACTCATACCAAGTTACAATTAACTTGGTCATAAATCATAGAGTCTCAACAAGGCCATATGCATTACAAACAACCATTTCAAAATTTATATATATATATATATATATATATATTCTTTTGTTTCACCAACATAATTAATTAATTAACATGCAAATGTATAAAATAGATTTTTCTCGATTACCTCAACCTTTGAGAGGTTAAAGGTTACCCCTCAAGTTACAACATTTTCAAAACTTTTCAAAGTTTGAATGGTGTCAAAAGAAAATTAATCTACAATTGATTATATCCCAATGTGTTAATAATGTTATTAACACAATTTTCACTCATACTCTAACACTTAAGTATTTATTTTACTTTATTTTATTTTTTTAATCTTAGCCTCTTGAGTTCTCAAATTTAATTTTATATATTTGAACCTATCTACTTAGTTCAATAGTCTCCTTCACAATAATTTCATTGAAATTTGGCTAAAAACATCATTCAAATAATTTTCTAATATCAAAATTTTCCTTTTTATTCCAAAAATTCGCAAATAAAAATATCCAAAATTTGCAAACTTGATTTCAAGCCTAGAATAATTATTCTATAGCCATAATAATTTATTTTTCATCTCAAATAATCATCTAAATATCAATGAATCAATTTATATTTTCAGATTTAACCAAAAATCTACCTACAGAGATTTAGGGATAAACTCAAAGGCCTCAAATTCTAATTCTATCAATAAAATAATACTCTAGAATATTTATTACACTACCAACAACCTCAATGACCAGATTTACCCATCAAAAATTTATCCCTCTTTCAAACCTTAGGTTTTTCAAAATCTTAAAATCTACAATCTCAAGGGAAAAAACGACTAAGAAAAATATTTAAAACACTTATCTAGTCTTAAAATACTTAAAATCTTATTTGAAATATTCTATTATGGAGCTTCACCTTCTAAATCAACTCTATTTGCAGTGTCGCTTACTCTCTATGCACAGAAGAAGGAATGAAGAAAAGGGAAGAGAAATGAAAAAGGCAAGAGAAGTCTATTGGTTTTAAAACAAAGAGTGAGTTTCATGTAAAATTCATGCCTCTCTCTCTCTCTCTCTTGTTTTCTTAAATTTGCAAACGCATAAATCCGTTCCTTCCTTTTCTTTTTGCACTATTTACACATCAACACACACATGAAAGCAAAAATTACTTCCCCCCTTCAATTTTTTTTATGTTCCTTTTCCTTCTTCTTTCTTTCTTCTTTTTTTATAATATTATTATTAGTATTTCTATTTTCTATAAAATCATAACTTAGAATTTAATCTAAATTAAATTCAATAATAATCTTTTAACTAAAATTATTTAAATCTGAATATTCCTCCAAAATTACTCATTTACTCTAAATTTTTAATTAACCTTAGGTTAATTTTTGGGATGTTACGATTAGGATAGATAAAAAAATTTAAACACAAATTCTTTTTTTAAATATATATATATATATTAATTTAGATTCAAATAGATAGATATTTTTAAAAAATATACTCCATAGACATGGCAAATGAATTTTAATGAAATATAATTTTAGAATTGTATGAAAAAAAATAAAATAATAATTTTCAACATATCTTTAGGGTGGAAAGAAAACTTTGAATAGATACATGTTAATTTGAATCTAAATAATTTTTGTATACATTTAAAAATTAATAATTCATCTCGCACCTAACTCCAAACCTGAATAATATATTTTGTATACATTAAAAGACAATAAAAAATTTAGAATTTAACTCCAAATCTGACTCCAGAGTACAGAATCACAGGAAAGACATCCAAAGTATAAATTGTAACAAATCTAAAAATGAACAGGTGATATTTTGTTATAACTTTTAACCCTATTTATATATATATATAATGATATTATTTGACAATCCTTATATATAGTTTCTTTGCATCAACAAATTTAAAGTTTATACAAAAATATATATAACAAAATAAAATATTTTAATCTTTATTTTCAATACAAATTTTTTTAATTTACTTTGTATACTTTTATTCCATAAAATCATTTATTTTGTTATGCACCTTTGTTTAAAATATTTTTTTAAATTTATGATAATCTTAATTATTTCTAATTATTACGATCATTTTTCATGTTAAAATGTGATTTTCAATTAGTAAACAACAACACTAACAACAAGCTTTATCTCATTAGATGGAGTTAGCTATATGAATTGTACAATGCTATTATACTTTATCATTAACCAAGCTTTTAAAAATATTGTTAATTAAAAAGTTTTGTTTAACAACTTTTGTAACTGTTCTCTTTAGTCTTTTTCTACCTTTCTTTATAGGATTTAAGATTATTCATTCTACTCTCCTTACCGATGCCTCTCACAACTTTCTCTATATATGTCCAAATCTTTTCAAACAATTTACTATCATTTTTTTCTCATAGATGCCACGCTCACTTTTTCTCATATATGCTTATTTTAGATTTTATACTTTCATATATATATATATATATATATTTGCATGTCCATTTCAACATTTTTATCTATACTACTCTAACTTTATGCTCATACTATCCTTTTAAAGCTTAACATTCATTATCGTATAACATAACAACTATTTGATAAAAGTTCCTTTTATGTTTATTTAATATATTTTGATCATAAATAACTCATTTAGCCTTTTTCTAATTAAACTAGCCATCTTGTATCCCGTATGTAGCATACCCATCAATTTTCTCATAATATTGAATAATAGCTTTCAAATATATTTAAATTTTTTCACTTGAAATATAATCTAATCTTTCAATCTCACTTCCAATTATTTTTTAATTAGTAGATTGCAAATTTAAGAATTTGAAAGGAAAATGAAATTATTTTTTAGAGAAAATTATCAATTCCTTGAAAAATATAATTTTTAAAAATAATAAATTAAGATAAACTTATTAAAATTATTATCTACCAAATCTAATTATTAAAATTTATGCAATTCATTTGATAAAAATTATATAATTATATGCACTACAATAGATCTGACCATAGAGGACGGTTGACAACGGTCCTCTATTCGACTGTCCTCTATTGCTAAGACATATAGGATGGTTATAAAACGGTCATATATTAAAGATAAATAGAGGATGGTTTTTAAATAATGGTCCTATATAACCTTTAAATTTTGGTCAAAACTGAAAATAGACAAGCCTTAGAGGATGGTTATATTAGATAACCATCCTATATTTGTTATATAAAGGATGTTTATGGTAACAACCGTCCTCTATAAAACAAATATAGGACAATTATCTAATATAACCATCCTCTAATGTCATTTTTTTTAAAATAGGGTTAGCTACTTTTCTAGCAGCCCCCTCACAATAAAAAAACATATATACTCAATAATACTCCAGAACAGCCTAAAAGATATACCCTATTTAATTAAAAACTATAATATTTATAATTTAATTACATCAAAAGTATTGAATTTAAAATTCAATGATATAAATCAATTAATTTAAAGTAAGATACCAATCCCTAAATTATATCTAAACTATATATTGACAACTAAACTAATCTAGTCCTAGACTAACTACATATTATCACCTTATATTGGATGTGACCTAATTTTCATATGCATATTTACTCCACTCTTTGAGAACTTCATTAATTTGGGTATCATCAAAATGAGGTGTAGCACAATCTGGATAGTACTACAACATACATAAAAATGAAGTTAGTTGATGACGATTAATATTCATTATAATATAAAAAAATATTACACAAATTATAGATACCATGAGGGGGATTGTAGCCTTCCCGTGAGTGACGATGTCTTTAGCATACCTCATCACACAATAGCCGTAATCATAATTGTTCTTGATTTGTCAGGGGCACTACATGAAGAAAACCATAAATATATATGTTATTGACATTAAAAATGAAAAAAATTGAGTAATTGGCAGTAATTTAAAGATACCTGTATTACATTTCATTCCATGGCATCCTTGTATTCCTTGAATGATCTCTTGTTTAGAAGATTTGCATCGATGCGATATAGCATAATAGCCCTAATATGCGGAAGACAAATGTCACACCCCAAAATTAGGTATGACTGGCACAGGATATGGGCACAAAACTCATATCCCTTAAGCCGCAATCGGAGAAACTTTGAAATTAATACGTCAAACACACTAATAGAGTAATTAAAATTTTTACAATATTAAATTAGATATTCAATTTTAAAAGAAGTGTGAGGATCCTGCCTGTAGTCTATGTGGAGCACCTAATGCCAGACGCCAACATAGGTATAAGTTCAAATTCTTTATCAAATTAGAATTTGACTAAAATAATTCTTCTGCTTCAACTCAGCAATAAAACTCCTCCGTGGATATCTTGAGTCACGAGTTCAACTATACAATCTGTGACAAAATATCTTTTCCAGTAAATAACGTCCCAACAATAAATAATTGAACATGAATAAAAAGAAAGTTTGAAATAATTATGCAATTCAAAGAGGCAATGATTTTCATAAAATTCTAATAAACTTCGAAAATAAAAGAATTTTATAAAACTTAAATAAAATCTTAAACTATTAAAATCTCATATCAAGTATTATTATCACTTGATTGCAAGAAAATAAATAAATAAAATAAATAATTATAAATAATTCACTAATTTAAAATCAATGGAATGTAAAATCATCAAATAATCAAGTTCATATTACATGGATTTATCAAAACAATTAACAAAACGTAGATACAAAGTTCACGAGGATAAATAACCAAATGCGGCTCTTGCCACGAAGACAAACGTGGACACACAATCCACGAGGGTAAGTAATCAAACGCAGCTGAAGCCACGAAACAAACGTGGACACACAGTCCACGAAGGTAATGCTAACCAAACACAGCTTGAAGCCACGAAACAAACGTGAGTACGATGCTCACGAATAACCATCCCTCCATTCCACGTGCGTTGGCCATCGCACGGGGCTAACACCTCCTATAAATACCCTGCTAGTTAGGTGTACCATGACGTGCCAAGGGCTAACGGAACTGTCGTTAGCAACCAGTGTTCTGTATAAAATCCCTTTTTAAAATCATTTTCCAACATGCGAGAAAATCATCACTTTTATGATACAGTTCTCATTCTTAAAATCGAACTCGCATGAATACTTTTAAGCATTAAAACTTATTAGAATCAAATTTCATATCTGATGCTCATGCTTGCATTTATTGAATAAACAAAATTTCAATGTCGAACTCATATGAATCATTCTCTATATCAATCCAATATTTGATAAAATGAAAATCTCATAATCAAAGTTCAAACTTGACTTAATTGATCAAATAACATTTCAAATTTGGTAAAGCTAATATCTCAAAATAAAGAAATGTTAATCAACAAATATCCAATAATCACATTAATGCATTTAAAATGATTTCCAAAAAAATGTAATATTTTAATAAAGAAAATTTGGATAAAAAAAAATCAGTTGGGAAACTATTCACTTACCTGTAGTATCCTCAAGGCTCCAAACTCATTTCTTATGACTCTATTTGAGCTTCCCTTCTTCCAAACATCCTATAATATATAATAATAATATTTTAATGAACTTTATTTATTTATTTATTTATTTATTTTTAACCAACAAGATTCCATTTTGAGAGAACCCATTCAACTAAAGTCAACACTAATAATTTTGAAATTCTAAGAACACAATTCATTCATAAAGATTTCTTCTTAGGCTATCTACCAAACATTTAATGTGCGACATTCCAAATCATTCAATAAAACACAAAACCTTTAATTCTATTGCCTATCCATTTCCAAGCATCCAAGTATAACTTCTAAAATGATAATGTACTTTATAACCTTTCAATTTTGCAACTCTCAATAGTCCAAAACTCAAATAAGACCTCAACAACTTCTTAAATAAACTCCCTTGTAAGAACTCAATTAAATTTACAAATAACAATGTCCAAATATTACCATTCAAGTCACCAATTTCTTACATAATTCTTTAGCCATACCAACCTATTTACTTGAGATAAAATTTTCTCTTAGGCTTTGCATCAAACACTTTAGGTACATTATATTCAACCATACAAATAGAATTTACTAACCTTCCATCTTTTATCCAGTAATTATAAATTACCATACTATCCTCAAGAATTTAAGTAGTTACATGCAAATTCATAATCCAATTCTTTTGACTTGCAACTTACAAGTTAAATTCATGAATTAATAACACCCAAACTAAATATACTTCTCACAATGATTAATGAAACTTCAAAAACATAAAAATCAAGCAAGACTCTTTCAAAGGCAACTTATCAAACATATTATGAGCATGAGTCCTTTGACAAATTCCAAACTTCCTTCTCTTCAAATTTCATTTTCCAAATTTTTTAATATCTATAATTGAAATAATCCAGCTCTTCAATTTAAATCCTTCAGTGATTATAAATTTTTAATACTCAAGAAAAATCAAATTTTCAGCCTTGCACATTACTCACAGTTTGCAGAAAAATGGAGAAAAATTCACAATTTCAACCCAAATTGGTATGCACGCAGCAACAAGGAAGCAATACTCACAGCTTTAGCCATAAACCACCTATGTACAATTAGACAGATCAAGGAAGGAAGCAAGAGGTGAGATTTACTCACCTGATTAGTTGAAACAAATGAAAGGCAAAGCTTAAAGCTCCAACGGTACACACAAATCAGCGGATTCAGAACCATATGGAGAAGAAAGTGTCACCGCGTGAATATGAGGAAGGAGAAGAGAGGTAGTCGACATTGAAATAAGGGAGGGAAAAGTCTGATGCACCCAACATCCACACCAGAAAGGTTACGCACCAGATTATTGCTGCTGCTCGAAGAGGAAAGAGGAACCCGACGTCCGAACAGAGAAGATGAAGACTTGATGGCGATGGCTGGAATTCACACACCTATCGACGGCGAAGTGACTGAAGGAGAAGGAAGCCTCATGATGATTGACGAAAAGAAAAAGGGAAAGAGGAGGAGCTTGGACGCTCAACAAGGGAGCCTTGGTTTAGCGATCTGCACCTCAACGCAGGGGTTTCCAGCGAACGTTACAGCAGCAGTGAGCAGAGCTCCTGCTCTCGTTGACGGCTAGGTTCGCTGGCCTCAATCTCAATGAACGAGGAAGAAGAAGAGGGAAGATCGAAGGAGTTGCTGTCTGAATCTCCCTCTCATACTCGCTGGTTCTAGAGTTTTCGAAGAACACGGGGAAATTTTTCTTTCTCACGTGATCTGATCGAGAGAAAAGAGAATAAAGGCTTGAATCATTAGAAAATTACAAAATTACAAAAAAAAAAAAAAGCACAGCACTTTCTTCTAATAATATAAAAATTACAGGTACTTTGGTAATTTTTTTTTTTGGGTCATTACAACAAACATGTTAGAAATGTAGAATTTTAGAAACAAATAAAATATTAGTTACTAAATATACTTGCCTATTAAATAGCTCCATCATATCCGATCGTTTAGTTGGATTCCCATCATGAGGAGCTGAATCCAAATAGTATACCTTTGGAGCTTTAGGATCTGTTGGCTCAATCATAATAAGCATCTAGTGTCTCCTAGGAGAATTGGATGATGTATGTTATAATTGAAATTTGAGAAAGACAATAAAATGCAATAAAGGTTTTAGAAAACTAAGTAACTAACCTATTAAGATAAGAAATCAAAAATAACATTTCCTTTGAAGTCGGTCTTTCTTTGAAGTACATGGTCAATGTTTGAGATTGCTACTGTAAACACTTATCCTTCTAACCACCTTCAAAACTTAAGAACTCATGGGGATTGACAAACACAAACCTTGATCCGAAGTTACCAGGAATGATGAAGGGATCATATAAGTACCTGAATGAAGAAATTGACAGAAGTAAATATGAATAAAAACTATAATCTAGATATATGAATAGGAAAAGTAATTAAGTACCTTATATAAATGTTCACTAGGCTATGGACGACCTTATTGCACGTCAGGCCAGTATTGACAATGTTAAAGTCAACAATCTCACTGACCTCTTTTTAATACATGCTATCATTTGGCAGTACAAACTGCACCACTGTGTTCTTGGCCAATCACGCATACTTTGCTAGCATATTTTGATTTATCTTTAGCAAAGGAGGAGCAACATCTACTAGTATTGGCTTAGAGGTTGATTATTTTTCGATCTTTGATAGCTGACCTGATTGTTTGGGGGGTCATTCCCCTTGAACTAAGTGCTAATTAACATCAATTATTAGAATTTGAATTTTAATTGACTGTAACTTGAATTTGAATTAAAATAGTGCAAATTAATGACATAACTGTGGTGGAGTTTCTTTTGCTCCCAAGCAAACAAGATGCTTGGACCATACAATATAAGAGCCAACCGTGTCTGTTATAATTTTTAACTCATAGTTTTGTTTGAGCAGCTTGTAATTGGCATCATTAGGCTTGATAATTAGCCTTTTGATCCACCCCTTGGGCACAAGCTCATTGTGAACTTGTTGCCTCGGGACATTGTGCAACTCTATGTCTACCTAGGCTCTCGGCCTGAAATGAATACTCGGCCTTACCTTGAACATAAAAGAAATATAATTTAATAAGGAAATAATAATTATGGGTTGCAATTAAGAAAGTAAAAGAATTTAAATACCTCTGGGAGATGATGAGGAGAAGATTGAAGCACGGTGCAACTATCTTTTTGAGTATGGATAGGCTCTGAGGTTGACTTTCTAAGTCCATGAGTCTTCCAATTCCCGTGCATTGACCCACCTCATAAGTCCACATCTTAGATAAGAGCACACAATGCTCTTACTGCCTCCCTCATACTCAACACCAACCTTAATAAAGTGGCTAACCCCCTCCATATATTCCCTCGATCGTCGATTTACAGACATCCATTCTTTATCCATAATCTTAAATCTATAAAAAATTATTAAGGGACATGTGATGAGTGGCTCAATCATCGTAAGTGCAAGATAATAAATTAACTACTAACTCATCAATGCATTACTCATGAACCACTTGATTAAAAATAGTGGGAATTCCTAATAAAAAATCCCCACCATTAAAAATAAATTTAAATGTATTTTGACTTACAGTTCTTTTAGTTGTCTAATAAGCCACAATTTTTATTTTAGAATACTAACTAGTTGTTAGTACTCTTAAAAGAAAATTTGGCACTATAATAGTTTAAAATTGAAACTTTCCCAAGCACTTAGCCCTCTCTTCATACTTAAACTCATTGCTATATAATTTAATTTTAACCCAATTTAATCATAAATAACAACAACAACAACTCAAACCCCTCTCTTGAACGAGTCAAAGATTGATAGTAAATGATACTATATGAATAAAAAAATATTAAGATGAATAGTTTGAGAAGAGTAGAATGGAAAAACCAAGCCCGTAGGTTAAAAGTGTATGTCTAAAGGCCATATTTTTTTGTTTAAGATTGCTAACTAGTTGTTAGTACTTTTAAATAAAAATTTAATAGCATAATGACTTAAAATTAGGACTTCCTTGGGTACTTAATCCTAGAGATGTTCAGTCTGGACCCGTCCCGATTGGCCCGGTATCGTCCCAATCATATCGGGACGGGTCTTGTCTCGACCCGAAAATAATCAGGATGGGACTTTACGGGACGGGACAGGAAAGGGGTTTAGGACGGGACGGGACACGGGATTACCATTAGGACGTCCCGTCCCGTCCCGAATATTATATATATATTATTTTTATTTTAAATATATTAATTATATTAATATAATTTATACTTATATTAAGTATATCAATTATAATTTTAATACTTGCAATTCTTATTTAAAACTAAAGTATTTTTATACTGATAATTTTAATGGCATGTAGTAAACATGGCGATATCTTTCTTTATAATATATTAATTATATTAATATAATTTATTCTTATATCTATCTATTTAATAACTTTTATTTATAACATATTTCTTGCTTATTTTTAGAAGAGTAATTAGCTTAGTACATCTTCATTAAAGTAGAAGAATAATGATTTGATGTTGTGTTTGACTTGCCTGTTGTTCCTAATCTTATAGCATAAAGATCACTTATATTTGTTATTATAATATGTAGTTGTGATTAATATAATTCAATAAATAATTTTAAGTTATTGTTATTTATGTGCTTTTGTTGTTTTGATTTTAAACTTAACAAATTATATGATTTAAAATTTTAATGAACGTTATTACCCAGATCTTTTTTCGACATTATTCCATTTATCGGGACAACGGGACGTCTCGATCTTGTCCTGATCCCATCCCGACTCTTAACGGGATGGGACGACTTTCGGGACGGGACGGGACATGGGACCAAAATTCAGTCCCGATTTTTTTTCGGGACAGGACACGGGACGGGGGTGTCCCGATCCTGTCCCGTCCCTTGAACACCCCTACTTAATCCTCTCTTCATATTCTACACTTTTAGTTACATATGACAATTGTTTTTGGTGATATGCAATTTTTTCTATTACAAAGTTCTTTGATTTGGTACAAAAATTTGAATGCACTTCCTAGAATTCAATCATTAAAGCTCACAAGCTTTATTTTTTTTAATTTAAAATCAACATCAAGCTCACAAAAAGTCATAGAAGCAAGTTCAAGATGAAGCTTGCGAAATTTAATCCATAAATTAAACCAAAACAAAGCTTAAAGTACCTATAAAGCTTAAAGAAGGACATGGAAGTAAGGATTAAAACTTGAAAGGCAACCACAAGCAAGAATTAAAGCTGCCCACAAGAAAATTAAAAAGAAAAAATAATGAACACCAAATGCATGATAGAATTTATAAAATAGAATAAAAAAATTTGGGTGAAGCAGTTGCAGCACGAGCATGAGGGAGGAAGGGAGAAGACGAAATACATAGGCACAAGCACAATTCTGAGTTTCAAGCTTTGTGATTCTGGGTTTAATTTGAAGCCTAGTTCAAGCAGAATTGTTTGACCAACTAACTGGTTTTTATTTTTATTTTTTGTCTAATTCTTGAGCTTATAACGTTCAAATTTTCTCCTTTCAAACATTTTATCAAACACCTTATGTGCATCAACGTTCAATCTATAAATCTAATCTCTTTTCTTCCTAAATATCATCCCAATAAATTCAGAAGTGAGTAGTAGAGTGACAAAATTGCTAGTTAATTCGAGCATAGACAAACACATAGAGCACATCCAAGAAGTCGAAGGAGCTTACAATGAATTGAAGCCAAGAAGTTACTGCTAAAGACGAACACAAAGTTTTGGAACTCACGGACCAAATGAAGATGAACTTGAAGGATTAGTGGGTTTTGGTTCTGGGTTTCTGACAAAAATGATGATGGGGTTCTGGGTTTCTGAGAGTAATGACGAATGCGAGTGATTCTAGTTTTACAGCGAATGAAAATGATCAAAGAACCAGAAACAGCAGGTCTGTTAAAGGGTTTCTTTATAGGACCGTTGAAATAAAAACCGTCCTCTATAGTAACCACATAGAGGATGGTTACATATGATAATTGTCCTCCATAAGTTTATGTTTTTTTAAAAAAAATTGTGAAAATCAAAATCAAATAGAGGACGGTTAAGCTTGGAACCGTCCTTTATAATTTCAATATAGAGGATGGTTCTTTATACAATTGTTCTATATGGTTTTTAAAATTTTTAAAGAAACGTGCCCAATAGTCTGCATGCTGGATATAAGACGGTTTTTTGTATACATGATTTTGTAGTAGTGATGCAATGTGCTTTATTATCCACCTCCTAGTCTAGCGTTTGCCACTGGAAATGACATATATTCAAAGAAGTTAAAAAACAAAAGAGAAATAAAGAGCTAATCAAAAGAAATGCAAGCCCATTTATTTATGGATGTATTTTTATAAAATATGATAGTTTAGAGCATAATGTCAGGTCCCATATTAGAGAGACTTAGAGAGGATCTTGGTTATATAAGCGGGTGTACTGCACAATCAAATGAGCTAGCTTTTTAGAGAAAGAGTAATGGCTTTATGGCAAAGTGGTATTGGAGCCAGACCAATGAAAAAGGTGCCATGGATTAGTCGGGGGAGCTGTCAGGTCCCATATCATAGGAATGTGGGGGTCTTGGCTATATATATAAATGGGTGCGTTGCACATCCCAATAAACTAGCTTTTTAAGAGAGAGTAATAGCCCTGTAACAATAACCTCTATTTAACATG